ATATTTCCAAAAAAAGCGCAAAAAACCGATTTTTGTGACCTTTGACCTTGAAATTTAATAGTTGCTTACACCCTACCATATGTAGGTTTTGAGACAACTTTTAGGGTGTCAATATACAAGTATTTACAGACTTACAGCTGGGCATCTCGAATTCCGAGGTGAACTTACTATAATGACTGGACTATATCAACTGGTTAGTATATGAAAAAAACCCTTACATAACGCCTCTTTGGTGGTTCATGATCAACCATAGGTTGTGTTGTCCCGGTGTGTCTTCAACACTAACACTTTCATTTTCAACTTTTCTGTGCCCAATACCGGCTTACAATTTCGCTACTGACTTTTCTTAAATTTCGCATCCCGCGTTTAGAAACAAAATAATTTTCCTATTCAGGCCACTATCCTCAGCCTCAAAGGCTGAAGGATGACACCCCAGAACCCGCCTTCACGGGCTCTTGTGTCCGATGACCTTCGCGGCTCTCGCAAGACTCTCCCGAACCTTCTGTCTTCTCTGCCTTTCAAAAGGCCAGAAAGAAATCACGGATTCATCGTCCCCGCCGTTTCTCAAACCGTTCTTTGTAACAGTCGCCCAGAAAAATCTATTACGCTGAATTGACGAAACTCACGTTTTCAATGCTGGGAAATTGACATGCCCATATTTAAATCTTGAGCTACGTTACAAATATATCTGACTGTACATCTTTTCAAAACACGCCGATGAATAGTGTTTATATAAACACTCTCGGTCTCTCGACCATTATTTTACATTGTATGAGAGACAAATCCGGCATTTAAAAAATTCTGAATTGAAGAAGTATGATAATCTTCAAGAGGAAGATTATTCAGTTCAATTTTCCTCTTTAAGATGATCACTTGATGATCAAAACACGTATCGAGATGTTTAAGATAACGGTTTGGTGTTGGGTTGAAATTCCAGTAATATTAATCAAAACAATGGCAAAACTACATGAATTGAACTTTGATTTGTTTCCACATCCACCCTATTCGCCAGATTTGTCTCCCAGCGACTACTGGCCGTTCGCAGACCTCAAACTCACCGGTAAGAAATTTTGCTCGAATGAAGGGGTTATTGCTGAAACTGAAGCCTATTTTGATGCAAATCTTTATTGATGGAGATTACGTTGATGAATACAGCCAATATTAAAAAACAAACGCCTTTATTTTCTTGGGCCCGGGACATTTCAGTCCGGGAGTTATTTATTGAGAAACGGGAAGATACGATAAAATCTTAAAATAATAAACCACATATTGATCAACTGGTTTTGTGAGTTAGTCTATTTTTCAATGATTCAGTGTAATCATAAATTTGACATGGAGGAAAATTCAACATTGTTTAACTACTTATTTTGTTGTGATTTTGTATTATCATGTCGGGCTGACGGCCTCGTTGAGTTATTTTTATTGGAGGAGCTTTCGGTAATGGATCCAACATCTCTGTGTTTTTCAAATTCTAACCACACGTGGTATGAAATTGTTATTATTTTCCAGGTGTTTACCAGCATGTGGCGGGGGAAAATGTGGGTGAGCATGCTGTAAAAATCTTAGGATGGGGTGTTGAAAAAGGGACACCGTACTGGTTGGTTGCGAACTCCTGGAATGAAGACTGGGGTGACAAGGGTTTTTTCAAGATACTTAGAGGGAAAAATGAATGTAATGTCGAATTCCGTATGATTGCCTCATTACCCAAATTGTAAAGAAAAATTGTTGAAATTTGACGAAAAATGTATTTAACGATATTACCATTCTGTATCCAGGTAATTTGAGAAATATTATGATATTCAACGTTTCACAGAAATTAGTCTGAGACAAAGTAAATAAAAAAAGTATAACAAGTCTTATCATTCGAAGCTCAAAAAAGCGGTTACCTCATCACAAATTAATTTCAATCCGAAACACTGGTTTCAACTAAGTGAAAAGATAATACTACCTAATACTACTGGCGGGTTCGTTGTCCTTGTTCATCTTTCACTGCCTGAACCACTGTGCATGCTGTTTTCAGCGAGTGCATTGGCTTGGGATGTGGGGGTCGAGAAAACCGGCCATCGGATGCCTGCTTCCACGTAGCCCCGCTGGATAAGAGAATGACAGAATCACTTGTGGTTCTGTTCTTCCCTAACTGAATAGCATCCCAACGATGGCTTAATCCTAAGGTGTCTGTATTCGTGCCGAGATGATGAATGACACTAAACCTATCAGCTGTCTCTACGGAACCTTCGAAATACCGGGCGCCCTCTCGTCGAAGCATCGCCTTGTCACGATAATGCGGGGCTCTGCCGAGATTAACCTTCTTTCCCTAGCTACTCGTGGGACTTTTATGGACAGAGTAAACTCAAAAACTCTTTCTGATACTGAGTCTATAGAGGAGATGGATGTCGAGCTTACGACTCCAATTGACCTCCTTATAAATTTATTTCAGGAGCGAGTCTACAGAGGAGATGGATGTCGAGTTTGCGACTCCAACTGACCTCCCTGTGAATTTAGTTCAGGATCGAGTGTACAGAGGAGATGGATGTCGAATTTACGACTCCAACTGATCTCCCTGTAAATTTAATTCAGGAGCGAGTCTACAGAGGAGATGGATGTCGAGTTTGCGACTCCAACGGACCTCCCTGTGAATTTAGTTCAGGAGCGAGTCTATAGAGTAGATGGATGTTGAGTTTACGACTCCAACTGACATCCCTGTAAATTCAATTGAGGAGAGAGAGTTTCTCAACTCCCCAACTCCTAATCCAGGAGTCGTCTCCTCAAGAGCGAGGTACCTAATAAAACCGCCTTGCACCAAATTCTTGAGCGGCATACGCAGAATCTGTCTCAGGTGGGGGAACAAACCCCCCCATGAGCAGGTTACCAAACGTTCGTGCTCAAATGATGATTCACCAAAACCAGAGTCGAAAAAGCCCCTCACGACTGAATCTAAGGCATCGTCAGATGAAGTTGACGTTCAAAAACCATCATATGGGAAGGTTGTCGTGGGTATCAAGGTGGGATTCTTGCAACTTGACTATCCGACTACCTCATTAACAGAGCATATACTTTGTGCCTGCCCCGCTGGGGACCGAATCAGATCTTTACAGTTCGGCAGAGTCATACTCTTACCATCTGACCTGAAAGACCACTCACCATACAAACTGATCGGCTTCGTTGGGAAGCTGGGTTTATTCAGCCGAGTGTGAATAGGTGTGAGCCACAATAAACCCTTGAGGGTTGCGGTGGAGGGTCGAATAGGCCCACTCACTTTGGACCTAACCTAACTTAACCTAACCTAATGCTACCACTACTTTTGTTGTTTTTGAAACAATGGATCAAAAACAATTTCTTAATAGTGGGAAAAATAACGTTCAAGCAAAGCAATGCCTTGAAAAGTGTTATGAGGACTCCGCTTCATCAGAAACAACAATTAAACGTTTGTTTGCTGACTTCAAACGTGGTCGTAGACACCGATGATGCAGAACGCAGTGGACGTCCAAATGAGGCAGTAACACCAGAAAACAGATCCACAAAACCGTTTTAAATGATCGAAAAGTGAAGTTGCGTGAGTCAGCTGACATTGTTAAAATATCAAAAGAACGTAATGGCTTCATATTGCATGAGCATTTAACAATGAGAAAACTCTGTTCAAACCTGAGACTAAATAAATAAAAAAAGCATAACAAGTCTTGTCATTCGAAGCGAACACTTGCAACACCATGCGTCCCATCTCGTATTCCGACCATTTTTCAACTCAAGACACGGAGTTGAATGAAATCTCGAGAACAAAGAATTTATGACTCAACGCAGAGCGCTGTTTTTACCTGCCATAGGTTTTAAGCTTGTCGCCCAGTTATCCGGCACAGCACAGCACAGCGTCCGTCGCCTGATGCCGACGGTAAAGTTTGTCGCTCACTTGTCCGGCACAGCACAGCACGGCACTGTCCGTCGCCTTTTGGCGACGGGTAGTAGCATCGCCCACTTGTCCAGCTTCAACCAGCATACTGAAGGTGCTGTTTGTTCGAATTCAAGAGAATTTCACTTAACATCGAGGGGTGACAGAAACATGTCTATCACTTGCAGTTCTGATGAAGAAGTCGTCACTATAGTGGCCGCATTATTGAATATATATGAAAATAGTCACAAAAAAAGTATCAGGGTCCATCCCATTAATCAAAAGAGGGCAGATCTGAGAGAGTTTCATCATCTTCTCAACGATCTGGAAGAAGACGAGGAGAAATTTTTCCTGTATTTCCAAATGATTCCTGGCAAATTTTCAGAACTGGATATTCTAGAGCCTGTCTCAACAAGTAACTCAATTTTTCCTCGTACATTTTCATAGGTACCGTCTAACACTGTCCTTTCAACTGATGGAATAGCAAAACAGAGAGACAGAAACTTCTCAGGCACGTTTGGAAAAGTTGATGCTGACAAGCGCTGGCCGACGACGCGCCCACTTGGCCAGTCTGTCACAGCACGTACCGTTATTTGCCGGACAGGATCGGAGAGCTGGAGTCCTTTCCGGCGGCGGACGCTCTTGGCTGTGCCGTGCCGGGCTAACGGACGGTTGTCCATTCATTTCCATTGTTCCAATCCAATAGGTATTTTGACAGACAGGCCGTGCTGTGATGTACCGGACAAGTGGGCGACAAGCTTTGTCAGTACTAAGCGCTAAGTTACGGATGCATTGCTATCCTCAACTATCCTTATAAGGAACAAGTCTGAGTATAGACAAGTTTCCCTCAGGAAGACGCCATCTCTAGGTTCGACAAAAGACCACCTTAAGTTTATAGTCTACTTGTCCGGCACAGCACAGCACGGCACTGTCCGTCGCCTGATGGCGAGGGGTACTAGCATCGTCTATCACTAGCAGTTCTGACAAAGAAATCGTCATTATAGTGACCGCATTATTGAATGTAGAAGAAAATAGTCACAAAAAAGAAAGATTTTGGTCCATCCCATTACTCAAAATTGGGCAAATCTAGTAGTTTCATCATCTTTTCAACGACATGAAAGAAGACGAGGAGAATTTTTTCCAGTATTTCCGAATGACTTCAGGCAAATTTTCAGAACTCGTGGAAGCAACTCAATTTTTCCTCATCCATTTTCATAGATACCGTCTGACACCGTGCTGTCAACTAATGTAATAGCAATAAAACAGAGAGACAGAAATTTCTCAAGTACGTTTGGACTAGTTGATGCTGGCAAGCGCTGGCCGGCAACACGCTCACTTGGCCAGTCCATCACAGCACGTACTGTTATTTGCCGGACAGTATCAGAGAGCTGGAATCCTTTCCGGCGGAGGACGCTCTTGGCTGTGCCTTGTCAGGCTAGTGTCCATTCAATTTCATTTTTCCAATCCTATACGTATTTTGACGGAAGTGGCAGTACTGTGCTGTGGCGGACAAGTGAGCGACAAGCTTTAATGAAATTATTAAAAGTGGTCATGAATTATCACAAAATAAACAAGCCAATAATCACACATTATAGTTGACAAAAGAGTCAAACCACGAACATACAGCCCTCAATACCAAAATGACCATTGTCTCTTGTAACGCATAAATTAAACCGGCAGAAAAGATAGTCCTTTTGTACACGTGTTTTGATTAGTGTTCTGTGTTCTGTGTTTTCATCCTCACTGGAATTAATTTCACGACGTTTCGGCAAATTAATCCCAGTGAGGATAAAAACACAGAACACGGATAAAAACCCAAAAAACAATTCATCATGTTCTATCCTCCACAGGAAGAAAAGGTAAAGCAAAAAGCAGAAAACTCAGGTGAACATCAACATTTTTACCTGTATAGTAAGAAGTAGATTTTAGTAAGGTCAGTCTGATTCCGAACATACAATAAACATCACCAGTTGCTGCCAAATGAGACTTAGCCGAAATGTCGTGAAATTAATCCCAGTGAGGATAAAAACACAGTTTATCTTCAGTTTCAAGTGCCGAACATTAGTTTGATGTAGAATGTTCAAATATATAAACAGAGTACGTAGGTAAACATGTAAACTACGTCGCGTATTCTTTTCGATTGAAATTCAGAATAACGTTTCCATTCGCATGAAAAATACTGAACTGGTTTTCGGGTTTTTGATACGTGTAATGTGATAGTCTCTTCAATCTCACCGCATTTTGACAAAGTCTCATTTGTCATCATCTGGATATTAATGTTAGCTTCAGATTTAATATTTCCAAGATTACGGGAAGAAGAGGTTAATCAAGAAGAAGAAGAACTCAGGTAAAAATCAATAACAATATTTAGAGTAAGTAGGTGGTAGAACGTGTAAGGACAGTCTACTTCCGAACACATAACAAACATCATTCTACCAGTATAGTAGGGAACGGTTCGAGTAAGGTCGACCAACTCCCGAACACTTAAGAGTAATATCTAGATGATGACAAATGAGACTTCGTCGAAACGTCGGTGATATTGAAGATAATATCACATTACACGGATCAAAAACTCGGAAACATACATACATACACATACATATAAAACATACATACACATACATATAACATATAATAATGCAATATTATATTTTGTTGGTTACTCCACCCCATGCGAGAATGCCATAAAATTCCCTCATCCTTTTTTTTGTATCAAGATGGAGTAGTAATGGAGTATATAATTTTTTTCAGTGATAATCAGCTATGTGCTCTAATAATAATTACTTTCACATATCAATCTGTAATAGAAACCTCGGAACATATAGTTTCAATGTCCAGAACTAGTCTGATCACTGATAGTAAAATACAGCAAAACTGCCAAAGAGCACCGATTTGAACAAAAATAATTTAGATTCAAGTACTCCCTACTCCAAAGATGATTCTGTACCGAGGATTGCTTTCACCATGTGAGGGTCGATGACATTCTTTCTTGAGGGTGCACTTCCCTGAAGTAAAATGTGATAGTATCACTCTCAAATACCCTAGTATTTACAATTCCTTCAAAACCTAATTTTTGAAGATTTAAGAAAGGCTATGGATCCTAAGATTGGACCCTTTGGGGCATGTGTATAACGTTTTTTGGAGTTTGTGAAAAAGGAATCGACCACAACATAGACTGCAATTCTTTTTCACCGAATCTTTTAGTTCTCAACATTGCTAGCATTAATTGTTACAAGATAGACGAACTTCATTGTGACACATATTTTTACAAAACATTAAACTTTTTATGTTTGACTGAGATAAATGAAAAACCAGATTCTGTAAACAGCATATGTACACAAAACTTCACTCTAGCGAGCTCTTCCTGTAGGACAGACCACAAAATGGTGGCGTTGGCATCTAGGTAACAGATTCTGTAATTTTCAAAGATTTATATCTAGCTAACCATTGCAAAGAAAAGGACATTGAAGTATGTGGCATCTCTTGGAGAGACACTAACCAAAAATGTATTTTAATAAACTGTTACATGTCTCCCAGTGGGGATCTTAATATTTTTCGTGACGTACTGACAGAAATCTGGAGTTTAGGTTTAAACCAAATATTCGCTTTATACTTGTGGGCGATTTCAAACTAACCTTATGATGTTCCATAGTCATCAGAGGGTATTGGTAGATGTAGATATAATTTTGAATAACACACCTATGTCTATAAATAACAGCTGTAAATTCTTAGGATTATTCGTTGACTCACATTTAGATTGGAAAGAACATTACAAGCTCCTGATTTCCAAACTTTCATCTCTCCACTATATGTTCAGAAATCTCAAAGTTGTTTTGACACAGCCACAATTAAAAAAATGCAAACATCTAAAAAGTATAAGAATTGCAACAAATGTAAACGTGCCATTATTCGCCATGATTTTACAAAATCAATGATGGAAAGGATCTTACGTAAATATTTGGCAAATAAATGTCCCACTTTACTAGTTCCCATTTTAGTAGGTAGTTTCAACAGTGTTCTTACGCTGTATACATAATTTTAGTGATGAAGGAACACTATTATAGCTATAATATCAAAAAAAAAGAGTGGAGTAGTGACATTGGACATTGAATAGTGTATTTGACTCGTATACATATACACATTTTTGCAGCATTTAAGGAACACTTAAGTAATGTATGCGGTTAAAGCATCTGCATCAAATGTTGTGTAAAAAAAGAAATTACGTGCTCATAAACACTTGAAATATTGACAGTGGCATACGGTGATTGCACTCTGAGTCAACAAAAAGGTTTACAAGTTGTACAAGCTTTTCACAGAAGGTCGAGAAAATGGGAATGAAAATGAAGAACATTGTTACTGAGAATCGTCGAATCACTATTAGAGAAGTTGCTGAGGATGTCAGCATATCGGTTGGCTTGTGTCATATATAATTTCTTTGTAAATTTTGGCCATTCAGCGTGTGGCAGCGAAGTTCCTTCCAAAATTGCTGAATTTTCACCAAAAAACCGTCGCATGAGCATCGCTCAGAAATTGTTGAATGACGTCAACAGCGATCCAAATTTGCTGGAAAGGGTCATAACTGCCGACAAATCATGAGTATATATCAAAACCAAAATCCATTCGTCCCAATGAAAGGAACGAGGAGAGCCAATATCACTCCAAGTTTCATCAAATGTCAAGGTTTTCCTCACTGTTTTTTTCAAATACCTTGGCGTAAGTGCATCAGGAGCTCTTGCCACATGGTCGTACGGCCAATAAAGAGTATTATCATGAAATTATGTGCCGCTTCCGAGAAGCAATACAAAGCAATATTGTGGAAAAAAGTTAATGGCTTTCGCTTCACAATAATGTACCTGCCCACTCATCATTGCTTGTTCGTAATTTTTTGGCCAGAAACAACATTGTAATCATGCCTCAGCCATTGTATTCGCCAGATTTGCTCCCCTGCGACTTTTTCCTGTTCTCAAGATTGGAGATACTCATGAAATGATAGCATTTTGCGACGATCGAAGAGATAAAACCTGAATCGCTGAGAAAGCCCAAGATCACACCAAAAAGTGCATATCAGAACTGTTTTGAAGATTGTAGATCTGAGGGGGAGTGCTTTGAAGGGGGCAAAATAGAAATTTAATTATATTTTTTGAGAAAAATGGAAATTCACCCTATTTTTTTAACAGACAGCGTGAGATATCTGTCTACTGGTGTATGTTGGGATGCGAAAATGTATCGAAAATATTTGTAGACCAACTGGGGTAGCTTTAACGTTGCAGCAACATGATGCAAATGACTGGGGTTATCATTGAAAACGCACAAGTTAACATTCGTTGACATAATACTATGATTACCTAATATTTGAAAAACCATATTTACTGGTAATCAATAGATTCGATCTGTCGTTCGCTATTTGGATAGTACTGGGTGAAATGAGGTGACATTGTTTCTTGTATGGTATTCCAAAAGTTATGATCCAGGTATAACGTTATATGCAGGGTGTCCCAGCTAAAACTTGTCACCACCTCCCCTAATCTGCGAACTCGTGAAAAAAGGGTAGGGGAGCTGGTCTCCAAACCTGGAAGAATTGACGATGACATTCTGGTTGAGGATCAATCAAGGGTTGTTGAAGTTTTAATGAAAAATAAATTTCATTAAGATATTTTCATTTTTCATCACCTAACATGTTATCATCATATGGAAGGTTGAAAATGTGAACCATTCAGTTCCATACAGAAGTATGAGGGCTTTCCGAAATGTATTCGCAGTCACTGAACATTCCACAATAATTCTCGTGCGTACATCATCAAGAGAATTTGGCTGTGTAATATAAACTTTGGATTTCAAATAACCCCATAAAAAAAGATTGCAATGGTGCTAAATCAGGAGATCTAGCCGGCCATTCTATTGATCTTCACCTTCCAATGGATCTCCCTGTGAAATTTTCGTCTAAAAATTGACGTACAGGTGCAAAAAATGTGGAGAAGCTCCATCTTGTTGACACGTGAGCTGACCTTCAAGTAGACTATCATGGTCTTCCAGTAACTGCTTTAGGTTAGGTTAGGTTAGGTACAAAATGAGTGGGTCTATTCGACCTTCTACCGCAACCCGCAAGGGTTTATTGTGGCTCACACATATATTCACACTCGGCCAAATAAACTCAGCGTCTCAACGAAGGTGATTAGTTTGTATGGTGAGTAGTCTTTCAGGTCAGATGGTAAGAGTACAACTATGCCGAAAATCTGATTCGGTCCCCAGCGGGGCAGGCACAAAGTATGTGCTTTGGTGTTTCCAAACAGAGACGATACACACTGTCTTCCGATACTTCGAATTTCTGCATATGATGATTCAAATAACAGTGACCTTGAAGAAGGTATGTTAGACATCGTAATTAACCCCAGAAACTGTTTGGTATCAAGCTTCGAAGGTTGGATAAACGCCTCAGAGTGAGCCAATCCTGGAAGATTCTACCAGAAGTCCATGAATCTTCTTGCCATCCAGGTGTTCAAACTTTGTTTGGCAAAGCTTGAAGTGATGCCAATGACAGGTTCTGGTCCGATGAAGCTGCTTGCAAGGGAGTCAGCAGCCTCATTGCCTTTCAGGCCAGTATGGTCAGAATCCAGACCAGAGACAATCTGTTGAGTCTTCTTATCGAGATAAGTGCTAATGAAGCAATGTGATAAATTTCTCATTCCGAAACTCCGAAGTTCGCCATATCTGAAACAACTCCATAACTAATGTTTGTTTGAAGGTGATTGACAATGTTTCATGATGAATTTCACTAGTTCGGACTTCCATTGTCTACTATATAAAATGAAATACCTGAAACAACTAAAAAAGAATAATTAAGAATGAATAGCTTGAAATTACAATTATATTAAGCAAAAATAAACCTGAAATGAAATAATAGTGAAATAAACTACAAGTAAAAATATAAAATTGAATAAATAAAAATAAAGGAATGAAAAAAGAAAATAATAAAAAGTGTAGAGATTCCNGATGAATACAGCATTTTTCTTCTTGGTTATCGCTTTTTCGAGAGCTTTTTCAACTGATATCCCTTCAAATCCGTTGTCTGATGATTTCATTGACTACATCAACAGCCAGCAAAGTACATGGAGAGCTGGCAAAAATTTTGACGAGAGCACCCCAACATTGCATATCCAGAGTTTACTTGGATCGCGCACATCTCCAAAAGCGAAGTCATTGAAAACTCGCGTACACACTGAAGACGTTGAAATTCCAGAATCGTTCGATGCACGAGAAAATTGGCCTGAATGTGAAATAATTAGAGTCATCAAGGATCAATCCGCATGCGGTTCTTGTTGGGTAAGAAAGTATATTTTAACTCACATTTTGATATTAGTTTTTCCTAACGGAGACAAGTTTCGCTTCCAAATGAACGACTTCATCAGCATCCATATTATCATCATTACTATTTTCTCATAACATCCAATCGTTTATTCATTTGAAGTACTCTTTATCATAATATACATATCAACAATTGTTTGAAAGTGGTTGACAATGTTTCATGGTGAATTCTACTAGTTCGGACTTCCACTGTGATACTGATATGGTTCGAAATCTTTTAAAAAATAAATAAAATTAGAAAAGCTGAAATATCAATTACATGTAAGCAATAAAACGAGGAAACATCTGTATACCGAAATCCCACTCACACGGAACAGTATCTGAATCACGAATCCAACCATCATCAATCTACCAAAAAAAAAGAATAATGAAGACTCCAGTGGATTGTCATTCCGGGCTCTGAAATATGAAGGAAGGTTTCAAAAAGGAACTGGGCATCATCATAAATTATCTTCAACGGAATGGTTACTCCAAAGCTAGAAGACAGCAAGAGTCTCGCAAGGAACAGAAGGCGTCACAACCAATGCCTACTTGAGATGATTTTCTGAAACGATCAGAAAAATTGAGTCCAAGTACAATGTCAGAAACTGATTCAGATCTAGAAACACCATACGTAGCAGCAGCACAAAATCCAAGCCACCAATCTGGGACTGTGATTCCAAGAATTGCATTTATCGGAAACCTTGTGAGTACTGCAAATCCTATATCATGAAACCAAATCTCCTTCAAAACTCGGCCTACGAATCCTGGAACGGCACACCTGAGGCGCACATGGTATCCTGGTTTCCAGAAGTATCACAGCCTCTGAATATCGAACTGGGGAACTTTGCTGCGTTTCCCTTTTATGGTAAAATGGAACATCCATTTCGAGGTTTCACGTCAACTTTTCGAAGATTCTCTAGTTTTCTACTGTGCCTGTGCAGCCCCTTAAAACTCTTGAGAAATGACCCCTCATAGCCCCCTAACGACCCTGAGAGATGTATTTTGACCTGGCAGAGCAGAGCATCCAGCCAATTAGTCTATTAGTCATTGGACCCCACTGAACATATTAACTTGTGTCCCTCTGAATGCTCTGGTCTGCCAGGTCAAAATACATCTCTCAGGGATGTTAAGGGATTATGAGGGGTCATTTCTCAAGAGTCTTAAGGGGCTNTAAATCCGTTCAGTCGTTTAGGCGTGAAAGAGCCACAAACATACATATATACATCCATCATCACAAACGTTCACATTTTTATTTTTTATGACACATACATTATCAAAGATATCGCCAATCTGGGTACCAATATTTTCAACATAAAATCTGTCCTGTATTTCACAGGCTGTTTCAGCAACTTCCGTCATGAGTGATAGGATTTGCATACATTCCAATGGAAAGAAGCAAACATACGTTTCGGACGAAGATTTACTCTCCTGCTGTTTAGTTTGTGGCATGGGATGTTCGGGGGGAGATCCCTCTCTAGCATGGTACTATTGGAATGTACATGGTATTTCTTCAGGAGGACCTTATAATTCTACCACGGTAAGTTATAAACAAATATTTTTTGTATGTGCACATCTATTTATCTTCAGATATCCTTCAACGAGTAACTTTTGCAAGCTGTTTCAAGTTAATATGAATATAAAATTGATATATTCAATCAGTTTCACTTCCAAACTCTGAATTCACATTGGTTATGATGTTCTAAAGACCAGCTGAATTTTGCTAGACAAGTGATACTACGGTTCAGAACTTGAATCATTATAAGTAGATATCATCAGGTCATCACTTAGTGAATTAAACGTTCTGTAAATTATGAAAATCATAAAATATAATAAAAGGAGATGATTATGCTTCACATATAGTAAGGGAGCAGTCTTGAAGACTGAATGTAGATCAGATTATCTAAAAGAACAATTCTTTCAGGTCAGTCTATCCTGTAGGTTAAATAGACTGGTAATCAGAAAACACTACTCCCTTGGCTAATACCACGAAGAGCGTTGGAATATATCCGACAGGTGTCAGTGCAGGATTCTTCACAGAAGTGATTCCTGCATATGTTGTTGGCGAAACAACTGCCAGAATCGATTTTCAATTATTGCAACAGGCAACTTGTAGTTCCGAACTCTTTGTTCTCCCATCAGTGCAAGGCAGTGTCCATCATCAATATGAAGTTGAGGATTTCCCATAATTAAAAATTGAATTACTTTCAGATTATCATTTTTCGAACTAGGCTGAGGCGAACTATAAACAACATATCAGTCGTATTCCAAAAACACTTTATTGTGAGATTTTCACTAAATTGTTTTACAAAAACGCAACACGTGTTTCGCCATACAATGGCTTCATCTGGCGTGTCTTTCAACTAATTCTACACATTCAATACTAAATATATATATAGTTTATGGAGTACCTGAAATCAAAGTACCTGTAAACGAAGTACCTGAATTTTAAGTAGCTGATATTTTACCTGAGTTTCTAACGAATTAAATTACCTGCACTTATGTTCCATTTTCACATTTNCCGTGGTATTAGCCAGGGGAGTAGTTGTTTTCTGATAGGTGTCAGTCTATTAACCTACAGTGTAGGTAATTTGAGACTGAACGAATTGTTCTTTTAGATAATTTGGGATGACAAATTATTGTTTGTTTCTTTGTTAGAACAATCTTCAAGTATAAGAAACAAGTTCAGTAGTAAGTTTTCGATACATGCCGTGGGCCACTTTGAGCTTCTCTAAGTTCAAAATGAAGGAGTGAAGTTTCAGAAATCAATGCATTGGACTTTTTGAAGTATTCTCCAATATATAGCTCATCCTGTATAAGTGAAGCTTATCAAAGTTAGGTTTTTGTATAGAATGAGATATATTGTGTTTCGTTTTTCAGACGAATACTTTTATGAAATGAGAGATAATCTCAAAAAATTGATTTATTCAACCCTTCACATTTCTCTAGAAAATTCATTTGAAAAGTATTTTCTGTTTTGAAGATATTTTGAAACTATGGTTTTTCTATTATTGAATAATCATTTGGCCACAATCTTTTTTTCAATACAGGGTGAATCGAAACTCATTAATTTTTTCAAATATTTTATTCAAAAAAAACTATTACAGTTTACTGCATGATTTTCATTATGAAGGATTTTACAAAAACCGCGGCACGTGTTTCGCTACGCAATAGCTTTCTCAAGCATATTTTATTCAGTGTGTGATTGATTCTTCCCAGAAAATTTATTATTTTCAACATTGAACTTCTCCAGCATGAGAAATGAAATAAATCCGAGACAAAGGAATAGATCTTTTTTCGGGAAAATGAAAAAAATCAATTTTTGTAGACCAGGATGATTCTCTTCAGCTCAACAACGGAAGTTTTGACGAATAACAAGTCCGTTCAAATAAAATGTTGCCACTTCTGAAAATAAAGTGACACAGTTGGAATTTTCAAGGACGAAGGTCCACTCTGCTTTGGTGTATCCCTCAATGTACTAATTCTCTGTTTTTCCGCAATATTCCGTTTACAGCAGATTGTGAAATAGGTTTATAATCTGGATACATTTCATGGAAGCATCTGCATATCTCTTGATGAGTTCGCATCATATCGCCTACAGTAATCTTTGAAATTTCAATTGAAATAACTTCAGATTAGATTTCACGTAAACGTATTAAATTGTTTTGAAAGTTTTGTCAGTTACAATATCATGTATTTCTTCAGCTCCATATCTCGAATCAATAAATATTTATTCTACTGTGTCATGGAATGAACTGGTCGATAGAAAATGTTGTACTCTATACATTTATGTTGTTCATTTTCTCCCAAATTTAAATTTTTTGCCCCATGTCAGCTCATTGCTGCGATTTTCTGCCAATTTTTCCTCTACGAATTCAAACTGAACCAAAGCCCTGCAGAAACAGCATGAAAAATTGACCAGGCATTTGGCAATTATAGTGTTAATGAACGCAATGTTCGATGTTGATTTGCGAAATTCAGTTTCGGAGATTTAACCCACGAAGATGAGCCCCAAAGTGGTCAACCTACAGTAATCCAAAACGAGGATTTGAGGACGCTGGTGGAGACTGATCCATCACAAACGGTACTTGAGATGCCGAAAGAACTGGGCGTTAGCTCCCATACGGTTTTTGATGGTTCAAAACGTATTGGAATGGCCAAAAAGCTCGAAAAGTGGGTGCTCCTCGACTTGAACGATAGACAGAAATTATCACGTTTCGAAGTCTGCTTTTGTGTAACCAAAACGATCCTTTTTTGGATCGGATCGTCCGTGTGATGAAAAGTGGATTGTCTTCGACAACAAGAGGCGTTCAGGACAGCCACCCAGGCACTTTCTAAAGAAAGAAAACCCACCAAAAAAGACCGTGGTTACTGTATGATGGTCAGCGGCTGGTGTGATTCACTATAACTCTCAGCAACCGAGCCAAACCATCACAGCAGAGTAATATTAAGACCGAAGAAAAATAGTCTGGGTCACAAGATCTTTTTTTTTGAAACTTCTGTCCAAGGGCACCGAAAATTATGATCCAGAGCTCATTCGATTCGGAATGACCTCTTGCAACTTTTTGAAAAATTTCAAGAGGAGCTCAAAACAATTTAGTTGAAAGAAAGGGGGGTTTGGTTTTGTGCAAATATCTGATAATTTTTAAACTAAAAACCTCAAATCTAGTTCACTTCTTGGAGCTTTCAAAAGATTCCCTTTGGAAAAATTAAAAAATTTTGATTTTCCA